AGACATTTAATGTTGTTAGTTTAATGAAAATAGCTAAATCCTGAGTTATTGTTAATATTCATATATTTAACCTTTTTTCTTAAACACCTAAAATTCATACACTATAAAATAATTAACAGGGAAATAACTTGATGATGGCTATCACAGTTTTCATGAATAATCTATGTAAATTCTTAAAAATAAATTAATCAGGTAAATGTAATAAATCTTTGTAAAGAAACTTGTCATATAATTTAGGATCTATAGTTATATCAAATTAAATAATATATATTCATTAAATGTCAAAGTAATTTTCAAATTATACTACTGAAAAACATTTTTCTAAAGAGGGTGTTCTTATTAAAAGGTAAAAAATTTTTTGTGTAATTCAAAGCTTATTTAAAGGTTATATATAAAACAAAGTAAATAAACCAGGAAATAAGAGACATAAAGTTATACATATTAAGAGGTACTTTTTGATTAAAAAGGTTAAAAAATGACTTTATATGAGAGAGAGAATATTCTGTGGTAAATTTCTGTCCTAAAATAAAATAACTGGTTAAGAAATAGGGATATTCAGGACAAAAGAGAAAGTCGAAGCATGTCATGAATGGTCTGTGTAAGTTGTAAAAGATTAGCAAAAGAATAATTTATTTTAAAAGTTATATGATCAAGTTGGCTATACTTAAAAGGAAATTATAATAGACTTTTTAGAAATTGGCCTTTGATATTAAAGATACAGTAACACAAAACTAAAGAACTTGTTAGATTATTAAAATTGACTTACTCTTAATGCAAGAAATTTTTTGTTTTTAAATTATATAGTTTTACTTTTCGAAATTCTTCAGATTGATATGTCAGAAGTTCAACTTCTGATATACCCTGCTGATTCAGCTCCTTCTCCCTTTTGAGAAGGCCTGGGATGGTAACTTTATCTTTCAATGTTTGTTGCCTCCTGTAATGTTTTTTATTAACAGTCAAAATTAAGAATTTTTGAAAACAGGCAAATGAAAAGTATTTTGGATCTGCCTTTGTCTGTATGTCTATTATTTCTATGTTTATACGCGTCATGCTTCAGAATCTCCAATTTGGTTCTAATGCACACTCAAGTTTGAGAACTACTGGTCTCAAATAGTGTATTTCAGAAGGTATGTTTACACATTGGGAAAATCAGTCAAAATTGAATCAAGTTTCATTGTCATGATACAGTTTCAGAAAATAATTTTTTGTATACTTATAGAGTTTATTCTCTCAATAGGGATTAATTTGTGCCAATCAGAAAGGACAAAAAATTAAACCAGGCTCAACAGGGAAAAGAATGCTGAATTATGATGTCCAGGTAGGTTGAGAAAATATCTGACAGGTTCAATAAAGCAGAGAGAACATTTTACAGTTTTCTGATGTTCACTGTACAACTATTCACAACCTGCTTTCATTTTGTGAAAAGAATATTTTAAGAACATCAATTGTTTCTTTCATTCTAGATTATAGATGAAAATGGCAGTGTTCTACCACCTGGAAAAGAAGGGGAAACTGCCCTCAGGCTAAAGTATAATGGCCCTTCTCCTTCTTCTCTGAATATGTGGTATAAGGATAGAAAGTGCTAGTCATGCCCTGGGTCCAAATTTCATTTCCACCATGTCTTGCTATGTAACCTTGAGCAAGCAACAAAATCTATTTCGTCAGCTATAAAATGGGGAGACTATCACCTCTCACCCAAGTACTGTAAAGATGAAATTCCAAATGTAACAAACTGGTTGAGTGGTTATCCTCAGAAAGGAAAACTGAACAGGGTGGGATGGGGGTGCTAGAGGTAGAAGAGGGGCTTTTTATTACACTTTTTGGGACCTTTTGTATTTTATACTAGGAACTACCTTTTTTAAAAAATTAATTTCCAGCCAGAGACAGTGGCTCACACCTATAATCACATTTCAGGAGGCTGAGGTGGGAAGGTGGCTTGAGCCCAAGAGTTTGAGACCAGCTGGGAAATATAGCAGGATTCCATCTCTACAAAAACATAAAACAAATGAGCCAGGTGTGATGGCACATGCCTGTGGTCCCAGCTACTCAGGAAGCTAAGGTGACAGGAATGCTACAGCTTGGAAGGTTGAAGCTGTAGTGAGCTATGATCAAGCACTTCAGCATGGGCAACAGAAAGAGACTCTGTCTCAAAACATAAAATAAATAATTTCCTTTGGAAGTACAATGTGTAATGTACTTGTCAATGAGTGCCACACCCACCTCTGTTCTGACCAAACTAATCCCCAAATGTCATCTTTGATTCCTAGAACAATCCAGAGAAAACTGCTGCCACAGTAAGAGGAGATTTTTATGTCACTGGAGACAGAGGGATGATGGACAACGATGGGTATTTCTGGCTTGTCAGCAGAGCTGATGATAGGTTTGTACATTTGCCACTCTTAAGAGGCAAGGATCTCCTACTTGGAGGATGTAGTGGTCAAAGGCTTCTTTTCCTTTTCAGGTACCGTATTAGGCCGATTGAAGTGGAAAGTGCACTCGCTGAGCACCCTGCAGTTATTGAATAGGCTGTTGCCAGTAGTCCAGATCCAATCCACAGAGAGGTAAGTGATTGTCATGAATTAAAGCAGCAACTTTATATTTTCAAGTTCTGTCCATTTGATCGTGGTAAAGCCTGAAGCAAAAGTGGTCATTTAATTTTCACTTGGCCAAAATGTAAACCAGGCAACCAGCTTTATAATAAATTGTGTCCCAAAGGGCAATTGGGATTCTTTTGAAGGCAAGTGACAGAAACTCAACTCAAACTGCCTTAAGTTTTTTTTAAAAAAAGACATTTGGCTCATATAAGTGACAAGTATTCAAGTGTTCATGTGAGGTTGGCAAGGTTTAGTCTCTCCATTTTTAGTTCTGCTGTTCTTTACACTGGCTCCATTTGAGCGGGTTCTTCCCACTTGATAGCAAGCATCTCCAGACTTATACAGGTTAGCAACCCTCCACTCCTCCAAAAAGGATAGAGCTCTGTTTTCATGTTTTCAATCATTTCAAGTAACTCTCAGGATTGCATTTGCCTACCTTAGATCACATCTCTCACCAATGTGGTTCACGGAAGGGTATATGTTGATCAGTCAGACTTGAATCATATGTCTATCATTGAAGGTAAGGGCTGGTATCAATCCCACCAAAGAAAAGTTAGGGTAATATTTCAAAGGAAAACTATACTAGTTACTAAAAAGAGGGAACAGATACTGTATAAGCATATGCAGATTTCACAGAATAGCAGCAGATTTCACTGAATGGACAACTGTCATGGAACTCAGAATACATTTCTCACATAAACAAGGCAAACAGAAAATTGTGGCTAGTTTCCCAAACAAGTCTCATGAGTATGTTTCAGACCAATGGAAAGGAAACGCTGGCAATGACAATAATAGTCTTAATTCTAGGAAGAAGCTCTATTTTCCTGATTTCCTTTCCTCATGGAAGTTTCCAACAGATACAGCAAGTGACAAAATTTCAAAACAGTTTGTCTGTCGGCATCCTCCCACATCTGTACCTCCCTCTCACACATCAGTGAGCCTCTGCAGTGACACTATGGGTCCCCTACTCTTATCTCCTGTACTCCCTCCACTCCCCATTTATTCCATTCTCAGAAATAGTTTCCTCCTGCCGCCATGCCCTCATTCTCTCAATATAAATGATTTCAGGTCAGCAGCAGAAGTAACCACCAATTAGAATCGATGTATTAACAATGAATAATATAAATTATACTTGCTAACCTCAGTAATTATCTAATTGGTGGTTTTAAACAGTATTACAAAAAGAAGCAAACAATATGAGGCAAAAATGACCTTGTAGAGATAGATCAACTCTTCCTGGGAGGCTTTGTGTTTTTTGTTTTTTTTTTGAGATGGAGACTTGCTCCATCACTCAGGCAAAGGCAGAATTCCAGTGGTGCAGTTATAGCTCACTACTACCTCAAACTGCTGGATTCAAGCAATCCTCCCACCTCAGCCTCCTGAGTCGCTAGGACAACAGGTGTGCACCACTGCACCCTGGCCCAATATTTCTTTTTAGTCTTTGTAGAGATGGGTCTCACTATGTTGACCAGGCTTGTTTCAAACTCCGGGGCTCAAGCTATCCTTCTACCTTGGAGTCCCAATGTTTTGGAATTATAGGTGTAAGGCACCACGCTCGGCCCCTTCCTGAGATCTGATCTCTCAGGATACACAGTTCTTCCTCCACTGACATTCTTCGAACTCCCTTGAAACCACATATTCTCTGGGAGCTCCATTTGTCTGCCTGCTCCATGATTCTAATGGTATAGGTTCAATGGAGTAAGTAAGTGGTCGTCTGTAAACCAAGGACTGCCTGAATTATAAATGGGATCAGTCTGAAATGCTAAATACATGTGTGACCTGTAAATAAAACTTAAGCTTTCTTGAACTGCTGCACTCCTCACACTCACAAACCATTTACCTGGAATTATTCTCAAAACCTCACTTTGTAATTGTTTTTTTTTTTTTTTTTTTTTTTTTTTTTTTTTTTTTTTTTTTTTTTTTTTTT